ATCAACGGAAGGGGGACATAGAAGAAACAATCGTGATCGCACGTTCACTTAAATATTTAATAATCACTGAACGCAGCTTGTGCCCAAATCTCAGCCATAATCTTGGATCGCGAGCGCCACGTATGGCGGCGTCATGCACCCATCTTTTAAGAGTAACAGTACCATGACCAAAAGGTGCCCTCGAATAAAAAGTAATCACCGACAACTCAAACACGCAAGGCAAGCAAACCTAATGACGGCCCAAAATGAAAAAGACCCGCTGGACAAAAGCCCGAACTGCGCGAAAGGAATGCAAACTTTCACCGGGGAGTCTAATGATCCGAAGCTGGATGTCGCAATATGACCGCTACCAGAACCGTGTACAGCACAGGCTCCGTACCAAGTCTGTAATTGCCCCTGCATATAACTAATAGTTTGGGGCGAGGCCCAAAAAATTCTCATGGTTCCTTGTCCATTAACGGTTAAAAAAAACCGAGATCACTCGATTACAGCAAGTAATGAACAACTTGATGGATGATGAACATGATAATGCAGCGCCACTGATGTCAGACGAACTTTTATATTAATGGCTTTCTAGGCATTTAATGCAAGGTGATCGTACGAAAATAAATTCGAAATTCGTAGAATTACGGTACTGCCTATAAAATAGAAAACGCAGTTTGATTAGGCGCTGAATTACCAATTCAGCTGAATTGAAACAAAAGTAATTGAATTTAATTCTAGTTTTTCAAATATAATAACATTTAAATCAATGTTGGTGCATAAAACTCTCACAACCATCCGCATGAAATTTATCTAAGAAACGGTCTGCCGAAATTGTTTTCTTAGAATTTGATATAATCACCACAAGGTGAAAGTATTCGCATATTCCTGTACAAACAAGTAAAATAAACAGAACGATCAAAATGTGTCGCTGAAAGGAACACGAGCTGCTTTCTTTAGCAGGTGGACCCAAGAAGAAACACAATTTTACGTAGCAACAGCCGCCTGCTCGTAGCATGAGTAATGTTCATGTGAAGTATTTGGGACAGGCGAAAAACCATCCAGATAGCTCTGCTGCTACCGATAACCCCAACCTCCTTCAATAAATGCAAGTGAGAGCAATACACTTTTATGGCATTTTGATGGATGAAGAAGCGAAAGGCAATAAACACGCTCGACATAGCGAGACTAATGGCTGATGTATTTCCTTGGACACATCATACGTCAAACAATTCAGAAATCAGGTCCTTTACTTACAAAAAGTTACTCGGAATTCATTCCAGCAATATATGTTTGCAAGAGAGACGCTGAAAATGAGCTAGGTAATTTTTCATACAGCAAAAAAGTCAAATTGAATCGGACTTGCTTTGAAATGATAATACTCGAAAACCTAGAAAAATAGAAAGCGGGGCTCACACGCCAACAACCAAAAGTAGAAGACCTCAAGGAGGACAGCAAAATATCAAGTTTCCATCACGGGAGATGGCGCGCGATAAGCAAAACCTAAGAGAGGCGTGACGACAGTTTTAATCTGGGGAGACCCATCAGCGACCACGATTCTCGGGACAGGGGAACTGCCACAGCCGACAACCGCAAGCAGGAGGTGATCTCAAGGCCAGACAACCTAGCTAGGCTCTCTCTCACTCTCTTCACTATTATAAGCCACAACGATGTAACGAACCATTAGCTCAGCGATTGTTCCCAAACTCATAATAATTAAAAAAAGTAAAGCAATAACAATAGTTTTGTATTGCCTTAACTTTTCACGCATGTATCGAATTAAAAAAAAACGATTTGACTAGGTACTAAATATTTTAATTATTTCGTCTCATTAACACTACGCAGACTAGCCTCGTAACTTCTGGCATAAAAACAAACTTTAACAACAATCGCACAACTTCAGAAAAATTGCAAAGAATGTGCAAATGAATAAGGATCGAAAAACGTGGATATGAATTTTACTTTCAACGGTTACAAACTCAACAAAATGAAGCATGGAATACAACGTACTACTGCATCAGTTCGGGTACAAGATTGGAACAAAATATTAATTGAAACTAGGCAAATATATACGATTGCTCCTCATTAAAACTCAAGCGGCTTTTCAATAAAAGACAAATTCAATACCTATATAGTCACTTTAAAGTTTGGGTTTAAGCTAGATCTAGAAAAAAGAAGCGACTAATCTGTTCCAAAAACTTCGAAACTTTGAATACCGAAGTTTTAATATTGGAAATGTTTTTTATTTTTATAAAACACCATACGCCGTTGGCGTACGGTAGTAGTTCATGAGGTGGTTGCTGCTACAGGCGACTTGGATTTAAATTCGAATACTTTCCCACATATACAGGCTACAGCCCGTGAGATTTTAGTAAAATAAACAATAGGAGTTGAAATCTGAAAATGATGAGGATGGCTGCATAATATTTTGAGTGTTAACGCTCAAGTTAGTAAGTAACCGAATTCAAAATAAAGAAAGCTTAAATACCTACACTTAGATTTAAAACGTAAGGCTCTCGCAAAGGGATGCAAAAATTACTCTTTTTACAGCGTGAACTATCATATGATATAGGTACCATATTGGACATCAGATTTAATTCTTTTATACATAATTTACGCTCAATATATAGCAATTATTATTGAGCTTCACAATTGTAACAAATGACAACTTGGCCAAGTACTTGCCATTAAATTGAAGTAACTACTACCATAAATAAGAGGAGGCTGAAGACAATGCCTAATTCGACGAGGTGATCAAGACTATTCCCGTTGATGAGGCCATAGCACTACGAGCACACTTTGGCCGTCAGTTAGGCGGCTCCGCTGAAGCTATTGTCAGCTCCCTTATCCCCGGCAATCAGGAAAAGGACAATTGCAGGAGCAGGCCGCGAGTTTCCCTCACTTAGGTCCTTATCGTCATGACCCGACGGATCAGTAGCGATGATTATCAAACGCTCGTAAAGAGCTCTGTTGCCAGCCCTAATCTGCACAGCCTTGCGGCTCTGACAAGAAGGCTGCATCCAGCTGAACATAGTTCGCACTACCAACATATAATTCAGCTGTGGAATAAATACTGTAGTAGTTGACATTTTCCTAAGTTCTGATTCAAGATTTCTGAGGCCGAATTTTTTCGTGATACATTTTCATTTTTCTGGCCAATTCGTCGGAGTCACGGTGAATAATTTTTTTTCGGCAGTGACAATATTCATTCACGCAAAGATGATAGAAAAATTGCATGAACTTAGATTGGATTTACGGTTTCTAACCCGAAAAATTATAGCCTATTTTTAAAAGACAATGAGGCAATCCCCCATAAACATATAACTACTGTATGATATTGAGCAAGTAGCCAAACCATATATATAAGACAATTTGCAATGAGGAAACTTGTTTTCTGACACAAAAGCTGGCAGATCAATTGGAGAGTACGGTAACTAGTTTCAATTAATTATGAACACTAGAGTCACTCAATATAGTCATATGCCAAGTCTTGCTTGTACAAAAAAAAATTCAATGGTTTATACACCATTGTGCAAATTATGCATATCAATGTATTTTCATTAAATATGCTAACAATAGCAAGGAACGAAAAATAAAAATAGAGTTTGAAATTGAATTATATCTATTACTCCGAAATCGCATTGATTTCCAATCATTAAAAGGTTCCTGAATGACTTCATTGAAATTATATTCATAGTTCACATTTCAATGCCATTATGCCAAGCAATCTTAGTAATCCAATTTTTGTACTGTATACTCGCGCACGTTTCAACTACTCAGGCGTATGAATTTCTCAGGCTAATTGAGAAAATGAATTCGGAAAAATTAAGACTTCTGAAGGTCTGAATTTGATAGATAATTGTTCATTCAATGAAAATTTTCTGTAAAATAAAGAGCTCAACGTGAATTCAAGGGGAATTGTAAATCTCAAATCGACATAAAAAGTTTACAACAATACGCCCTAACAAAACAATCCTGAATATTTCCCGTGAAAAAAAAAACAAGGAACAGACCGTGGAAATTTCGCCGTAAAGTTTTCGGGGTAGACGTGGCATGCATGAAAAGCCACACTAGCCAGGAGGTCGAATTACTCCCGAACCTAACCTGACGGGCACTCGGTCGTCTTTGGTGGCGATCATATTACGTCGTTCTCTACGTCTACTGGAATATTCTTTAGAGTTAGACCAAATGAAGCTCTCTTGGTTTTGATTCCAGCGCCATTTTTAATCTAAACAAGCGTTCGTTTATAAAGCTAATATAAACGAAAATAAAGTCGCACGTTCTTCAATAAGGTAAAATTACCACCAAAGCCCATGGCACCATACCATATGACGGGCATATGTCACTAATTGTCAGAATTGTCAAGCTATAAATGCACGATTGACAGGGAACTGTCTACCTAGTACGTTTACTTAATCAAGTTGTCAAAGCTGAAGCAAATTTTTCTATTTGTATCAAATTCTTTCCGGCAGATTTTGCATGTGTTCAAAGTTTTGAACGAGCACTGAGCTACACACATAGGTAACTTTCAAAATGTAAATTCAAATGATGAATTAGGTATTTCACATCATGGTTCCGTCAACATAAAGCTTAAAGAATAAAGTGAACCAAATAGCCTACAATACTGGCGGGCGACAGCGGATCCAGTAGACGCCACTTCTAAATAGGTAGGTACGACACATTCGTATAGGTATCCTTGCTGGGGCCAAGGAAATCATGCCGATGAGGAAGGTACACAGTTCGAAGTTGAACCTAATTTCCCAAATTCAGACTTCAGTAACTACTATCACTGTCACGCCAGCAGTTCGCAAAGAACGAAGAGCAAAATAGAATAACATTGGCGCCAATGATTTGTGATGAAAAACCGTTTAAAATATTTGTTTAATACTCAACAAAATACAAAAATCCTGTAGCAACAAGTAAGATCAAAATGACTATTAAGCATTAGATAGGGGCTAGTAGGTGCGGTACCATGAAAAAATGCAAAATTAGGTTTCGAAACTTTTCAAATTTCTCACCTTGTAAACAGAAATCAACCGAACGTTGTTACTTCCTTTATTTCCACGTCTTCATGGTCAGTCAAAATCAAAAACTAAGAAACACCTTATGAAGGAAGCACATTCTGCAGAAATGTGCGTGGAAGGAACTCAACGCCCGAGTCAAGAATGCGCCGCGAAGGAGGCGGTCATCGGTTTGACTTCTAGCGGCACATCCAATTAAACATCACTCCATTAATATCTACTTAAATCACCGAAAAGCATGACAAACATTCTTTCACATTCAAAGTAGTCTCAATAGAGATAAATCTTAGACGAAATGATAGTATCACTGATTTCCCCCCAACAGAGGTAGGTTTTCAGAACTGAACTGCACGTGAGCCTTCACAAAGCTATTGCCGCGGAGCAAGCGGCACACAACCACACAGCACTAGCGTCAAGCGCACACTGCTCGTAGCTTCGACTGCTTCGTTCGTAGGCTAAAATGTTCTCTAGATGTTCTGAGAGAGACGCGTCGGCCAACATTTGCTCAACCAACAAGATTTTCTACTAATTTCTTTCTTACTGCATTACTTGATTAATAATTTTAGGTCTGAATAAACGTTTCTGCGTTTTCCAACGTATAGTGACATTTATTGCACGCGAAACCTTTTGCATATAGAATTTTTGCTTATGCAAATCTTTCGTAAGACATGTATAATGCTTCGAAAAACCTCAAACTTATTTAATTTATCAGATTGAATACCAAAAATTTACATGCACTACAACCATCGTCCTTTTCCTTAGTACAGTTCTTTTGAAGATTCACTCATATGATTGATACGTATACTTGGAGTTTAAGAACTGCAAGTAATCAAACGTACGTCAAAGAGAGCTTTCATAAATTGTTATACTCAATCACTCCCATCTTCAGATCTCACGTGATGATAATCCATGATGATAATCAGTAACAAAATTGCAGCTCACACATGGCTGTTGTTATTGTCTTCGAAAATCTCGTTTCAAAGGTAAATATGAAATGATGTCATTATTGCAGCATCGAAATTCTTGTATGTAAAAAATACAAAAATAGGTTACATGAAATTGGTTTTAAAAAATAATAAAACTTATTTATAATTTGTTGCTGTCGTTTCCTCATGAGGCATTTGTAATTAAAAAGATCATGATCGCGCTGATTAGTTGAAAAACTTAGTTCAGTATAACTTCCTCTATTTGACTAGAAATTCCCTCTTGCCACGAACTAAATCACTCGTGGTGCATAAACTTAGTGAAGAGTCTGTCTCCTGCGCCACGGAACGAAAATATCTTGTTTTTCACAAGGCGTGTTTGCAAAAGTACCACTGTATTTCAACGCAGGAAGCGAGCTTCATTTGTCACTGTATTAATATTATATTATCATTCAAAATCATCTTTTAGTCATGCATGACTGATATTAATTCAATTGTCCTACGCCATGTACAGAAATTAGAGTAGTAATTGGTTCGTTAAGCATCTAAAAATAAAAAAAAACAGCATTTTCAACACGAAAAAAATCATAGTGATAAAATAATGTCAATTCTTAAATAAAGATAACGATAAAAATAAAATCATATAAATTATAGGTATATAAAAAATGACCATTCAATCAAACTGAAGGACCCAAATGTGAACTTCCCTTCATCGAAGAGAAAATTTTTACCGTTGTAATTGTTGCCAGCTGGCGCGTTAGTTAACATGTTATTTATTAGGACAACTGAGTTGCGGACTGTGAATGTGACCGAAGGCAAAGAAAACAGACTTCATGAACAAACTTCTCTACTCACATCAAATTTTTTTCATAATGCGTATAATTACTAGTTAAAAACGTTATTCTCAACTTACAATTGAAACCTAACTTGTACTCTTATCGAGTTAATGTGCCACTCCTCTGCACCTGCAGGCTCAAGTTATGACCAAACCCTAAATATTTGAGAAAACCCATAAAGTACTTTTGATGCCAGGAAACGACCGTGAGTATCCCATTGTTTATCTTATAGCGACGATCATTTTAATTATGCACTTACCATTTTTTTCTGTTATCTTCTGTTTGGTGTATAGTTTGACACTTTGACCATCTATGCAGGGTTGAATTCTAAGAATGGTGGGTCACATTTTCATGATCAATCCAGTCCGGTGATTCTTTCAGTTCCAAAATAGCAAACAAGTATGGTGGTGAAATATAGTTTCAGAATTTAAAATTAAACTTGGCGGTATGGGCGCCTGTTCCTATATTAACTCTCCTGAATTGCACCCTCTTAAAATCAAATGAATAAAACTTAAAGCAATTGTTATCAAACGACAATCGCCGTCCCATGCTGGTCCCAAATTCCAGATAGTCAATGTGTACCACATAAAACTTTAACATATTTAGGATATTACAATCTTCCGGACCTTGGATCAAATAATTTTCCCTAACTGGGTCTCTTTGAATATTGGTAGATTTTGCCCGGTTTGGCGCTTTGCCAGCTCGGCCGCAGATGTTATTTAGAGTCAGTGTCGTTAAAAAAAACTGCATCCGAAACACTCAAAAATGTGGATGAACAATATTGTCCATATAATGACACATGCACTCTTAAAACATAGCATGACCATGGAACGGAAATAATGATACACTATATATAGTAATGCATTTATCTCTTGCCCGGCCGAACTGGGTCAGGATGATCCAGGCATGGACAAAAAGTGCATCGATATTTGGACAAAGTCCACAAAATTTCTTTGAGTGAACGATTTGATTTCAGCTGCGTACCGGTGACCGCAGAACATTCAAATGCGTGATCTAAACTGAGGTTTAGGTTATCAATAACTTAGCAACGGCTTGTCGAGAACGGTCATGTTAGAACATATAATAAATGTGATGCAAGATTTAGTCTGCTTAAATCGTAAGTTCACTGACAATTTAAAGTACAGTCAATAAAGTAAAAGAGAAATGTAATTTTCAATTACATTGACACTAAAAGAAACAGTATTTGAGTAATATTGACTGTTACAGCCTAGTTTGACTAAATTATGTTCTGGGAATTTTTTATCGTTAATTTTGTATACAAGCCTTAAATTTTCAGTTAAGCTTACCGTTGACTTCGACAGATATGTTTTTAACGCATGGATAAAAAACTTTGGCAATCACAATTCACGAAAAATAAGTTATTCAAGTCAAAAGGTGTAATCATTCAAGCATCAAATTTTGGACCGCTTTTGTTTGAAGACGCACGGGTTATTATTACCATTTATAAACATTTGCTCGTAAAAAACGTTGAATATACGCACGAAATACGTGTTCATGTAATTATTCATGCATTGAGTAACGCACGACATAAAACTTTGCAAGTTGTTCTCCTGGTATCCATGTTACGATGGAAACTACAGCAACTTTTGTTGTCGGTTTTGGTGTTTCTTGACGTTTCATTACCAGTATCTGTTATTCGTAGTCGTTAATTGTACAGTAACTTTCTATCGCATGAGTCGTCATGTTAATTTCGTGCATCACCAATGACTTATTTTATCTGATGATTTGGTTGCTTCAAACCTCGTCATGGGTTAACATAAATAATTTCCTTTAAATAAGTACATGTAAAGTATATTAATCAAATGATGTATTATATAATTCTGAAATTATATTCAAGGTTCATTCAAACCTGGTAAGTTTCCCGGCCTTGTGCCCCTCCGCTGCGACTGCTCGTGAAATAAGCAAGTAGTTCGCGCAGGTCTGAGGAACAACCTACAGTATTTCTTCTCTGAACTGCAGGTCCTTTATTTGGGTCCTTCAGAGGCGGATGTGAGCTCCAATTTTCCATTTATTCAAAAGAATAAAGTTGGTTCACTTGCGGGCATAAATCTCCCAGTTCTCAATGGTCAGCGGATTTTCTAATTTACGGACAATGGCCGCGGAACCAAAACTGCTCCCTGAAACACAGTTGCGGATGCGCCAGGCTCCTCCAGAGCGAGGAAAAGTCCTTTAAGGAATGTCACACAATATACTGGCCATGCATTTTCTATTTGTACATTACCTGGGTATTTTAGGATGATTATTGGTATAGTGCTTGGATCATATGCGCATTATTAGTTAATATTTAATTCATTAGATAAAGTTCCATCTGCTGGATGAATAAAACTCCACATTGAAGAAAAGGCTGCAAATATATATTCAGCAATTTATTATATTCAATATATTCAACAATTAATTTAGGATGAATAGCATAAGATTGGTAGAATGAATCGTGGCAGCAGTTTTTTAAGATCATATACCTTCCTAAACACAGGTAACAATTTTTTACTCTGAATATTTAAAAAACTTCATTTTGCTACAAGACAGTGGGGAAAATAGATGCTATGCATGCACGGTTCCTCATTGCACTCGAAACGAAACAATATTATTCGTTATTGCGATTGTTATTTAGCTTTCATCATGTAAACTCGAGAATATTTACTGAAAAAAGCATAGCCTAAATAAATTGTGATATCTAATAATGATAATCACTTGATACAGAATAATACTTACGAGTTTGGTGGCCACGGGGCGGATGGACCAACACAATATGCACGTCGGAAGCTGGACGGTGACGCATGCACAGTCGGATGCTCCCGCTGCGCTGCCTGCTGCTGACGTTAGCGCTGCACTTGACTAATATAAATAACGCAAATATTCTCATGAACAACAACAAGAGGAATTACGCCTATCCGCAATGCCATAGGCTAATATCGATCAAATCTAATACCACAAGACTAACCCTATTAAAACTTTGGGTTAGTAAAATGCAGTTTGGGTACCAATGTGTTGATTATTACAGTGCACTGTGTATTCTTTTAAAAGAATAATTAACTTAAGAGTTATTGTACTAATGTATAGTAAGAGAAAGTGATGTTGTATTCACTTTAACATAATCAACATAAACTTAAGTAGCCGTGATGTACTCGATACCGTTGAACTAATTAAACAGACAGCAATATTAACTTTCTGCAGCTCGAATTAAAAAAATTATGTTCGTTGGAGCGGTGACAGTTTCTACTTACACTATAATAAAAGTAACGATTGTTACGCAGACGCAATAGTATATATTATACTATTATAACTTTCAGTAATATATTGACAAAAAAACAATGCACCGTTAAAGGGAGTTAAATATTTATATTCCTTAAAAGATGCAATGTCATCGATGCGGCAAAATTGTTTCGCTCATAAAAATCTAGAATATTTGTCTAAATTGTGATGCACCTCTTGCCCCTTTACGGGTCGTCTTGACCCTGTTTTACCCGGAAGAAAGGCCCGTTCATCACTGCTACGTGCAGAATATGTATCATTATTTGGACATGAGCCATTTATGTTTCTGAGTAAATCCTACAGTACCATAATGAGCTTTGAAATGTTCAATAGATGCACTGATCATATGCTTCTTAATGAGGTGATCTAGTGACATCTT